GGCTGCCTGCTCTCCTTTGACTTTTAGAAATGGCGTCTAGGCAGGTCTGGGATTAATACATGAATATGTTTATCTTCCCAGTGTTCCTTCCCCCTTGTGCCCCATGTTGCCTGTTGCCTCTGAAATGTGCACATCATCTTTGCTGCTACTTTCTCTGGTAAACAATGCTCTGTTTCAAAGGTGTGAACTATCAACAACACTATGGAATGGACGAACAGTGAAGACCTGATTTAGTTGCTTGAGGCCAATTTCCATTGACTTCACTGTGAGCTTGGGCAGGCCATGTGGTCAAAAGCTCCAAGTGCACAAATTGGAGGAAAAAGAGGGTAGCAAAGGAGAAAAATATATTTGTCCAGTGATGATATATTAATACTCAGTAGTTTTCATCAACATATCTTACCATACTTTAGAAAGGAGGTCAGTCTGATTGCCTCATTTCACAGAAGAGGAAACTGAGGCATTAGGAATGATGTGACTTGCCCAAAGCCATGAAGCAGGCCAGTGATACCATGGAAATTGAAATGTTGTTGTGGCGGGTTTTAAGGGTGTGAGCTCCACACGCCGCTGCTCCCGCCCACGCCCCGGGCTGGGGCCGGCGGAGTGGGGTGGGGCTCCGCGAACCCACCGCCTTTGAGAGCTTAGTTGTCCCAATATCCGGGGTCCATAAGTGAGTCCGGGACCGGGTGCGATCACCCCTCGCCCTGTATGGGGCCGAGGGGGCTCGGCGGACCCAGTCCGGTACCTTCCCGGGGCCTCTCTCACCCTCTTGGCAGGGGGAGGTTGGGTAGTGTGTCCGGCTATTACAGCCTTGAAGACCTGCGCTGAGGTCAGGGTGTGGGGAGTGGGGGACCCGGGGCCACTCTCGCCACCGGGTCCCAGCCCGAGGCCCTAAGTGGGGTGGGTGCTTTAAAGCGATCCCCCCACAGCAGGTGGGGCAGCCGCCCGAAACTCACCTGTCCACGGGCGCCAAAACGGTCCCGCTTCGGACTCCTTCCACTCCTGCGCCGCCGGCCCCTCGGGCCGGCGCAAGGTTAGATCACTTACCCCGTCGCAGGGGACTTACCCCATCAAAGATCAGGGAAAGGTAAGTAAAAACATCTGGTTTTAGTCATTGGATTGAGACCCTATTTTTCTATTGCTACTTTGGAAGGGGGGTTCCCAAAAATGGAGGCGGGTGGCAGTTCTTTCTATCTGTCTGTGAGACTTTTTTTATGTGTGCAATTTCTTTCCTCTCTGGACATGTCAGCAGGGAAGAGCTTTATTCCTCTGTTGGATGCACTGATTATGTATAGCCCTTCCTTCAACATCATTCTAATCAGTCAGGAGGCCATATATTGCATTTTTTGCTTGTAGGGGAATGATTGCCCTGTAATGGCACAGACAACATGCAGGATTCTTAAGGAGAACACCCAGTGGAATATAGGGTAGACTCTTAAGCTCTCTAGGATTGGAATCTCCAGAAGCCAAATGCTGAAGATATAAATGTAAGCTGCAGACCATCCATATGGCTCGATGTCTAGTGGCCAACCCATATCAAGTGGAGCGCCCCAGGGGTTGGGCCTGGGGGTAGTTTTGTTCAACATTATTATTAATAATCTGGATGACTGGATATATCCTGGGGTGGGGAACCTTTTTTGGGTCAGAAACTGCTGACCTACAGAAAAATCAGTCAGGGGCCACACGGAAGTGAGAAGCAAAAAAACCAAAAACAAACCCTCACTGATGTGGCCTCCCAACTAAGAAGAAAGCTATTCCCCACATTCCCCTCACACACCAGAGTTTTTTTGGGGGGCACGCTAATAGATTTTGTGTGTTCCAGCTCTGTGGGGGGCTGGAGCATGATCACAGCCCCCTCCCCCCAAAGCAGGAGGAGCTCTGAGTCTCCAAGGCCAGATCCAGGCAGGCCAGGGTCTGCATCCAGCCTCTGGGCCTGAGATTCCCAATGCCTGGATTATGACCCGAGCAAGTTTGTGGATGGCACTAAACTGTGGGGAGAGGTAGATACACTGGAGGATAGTGATAGGGTCCAGAGTGACCTAGAGAAATTGGAAGATTGGATCAAAAGAAATCTCATGAGATTCAACAAGGACACATCCTGTACTTAGGATGGAAAAATGCCACACACTCCTATAGGCTGGGACCCTTGGACTAAGTGGCACTTCTGCAGGAAAGAACCTGGGAATTACAGTAGATGAGAATCTGTATATAAGTTAAGAGTGTGCCTTTGTTTTCAAGGCTAGTGACATATTGGGCTGCATTAGTAGTTTCATCAAGAGCAAATGCAGGGGAGTGATAATTCCCCTCTATTCAGCACTAGAGAGGCCCCAACTGGAGTACTGTGTCCACTTTTGGGGCTCAAAGGATATGAATAAATTGAAGAAAGTCCAGTGACTGGCAACAAAAATTATTGGGGGACTGGAGCACATAACTTACACATTGAGGCTGAGGGATTTGGGCTTATTTAGTCTATGGAAGAGAAGAGAGAGGGGGGATTCGATAGCAACCTTCAGCTAACTGAAAAGGGGGTTCCAGTGTTCCCTCAAATTTTTTTCAAAGATATGCAGATTTTTCCCATCCCTGGGTAGAATAAATTTTGTTATGTGCACTGAGGCATGTGTGAATGTGCATCACCAATAGGCACACAAACCGAGCTGTGGGCATTCTGCTAATCAGCTGGGTGGCATTGGAATCTCTCCTGAGTAGCCGAACAGGCATCCAACTTACAGTGAATGCTAAGTCAAATGATGATGGAGCTAGGCTTTTCTCAGTGGTGGCAAATGACAGCACAAGGAACAATGGTCTCAAGTTACAGTGGAGGAGATCTACTTTGGATATCAGGAAAAACTATTTCAATGGGAGTTTGGTGAAGCACTGGAAGTTATCTAGCAAAGGAATCTCCATCCTTAGAGGTTTTTAAGGGCAGGCTTGTTAAAAGGTGGGGTTGGTCCTACTTTGAGCCGCAGGTTGGACTAGATGACCTCCTGAGTCCTTTTCCAACCTAATCTTCTATGAATCTGATTCTGTGGGAGCAATCTAGCACTCATTTGACAGAATGGAAAAACTGCCACTTGATTTCTATGGTGCAGGATCAAGCCAGCAGAAATTAAGTCAACAACAGAGGGAATTCCTGCTTTATGTTGGTGAAAGAGTTCATAGATCAAACTTGGGGAGGAAGACCTCAGTTACATCAACCGTGAATGTTTACAAAAATTGTGTTCTAAAGTATGGCACTGAAATCCATAGTACTTCAACTATCTTCAGGCAGTTTGGTGGGGATTGTTTCACAGTATCTCTCTATCTAGGCAGATGCAATCAGGCAGATTCTCAGGGAGTGTAAATTTCTATAGCTCCATTCTTTTAATTTAAAAAACTGGCCCACAGAGTGTGTGACATGTTGTTGCCCCTGGTGGGCAGTCTGAGAGCTGTAGGAACAGCAGCACACCTCTCAGTCACACAGCTGGGTTGGGGACATACTCAAGACCTGAAATCACTGAACAATACCAGGTGACTCTGGTTAACCAAATTGGGCTTACTGAATGTCAAAAACTGATCCTAGCCAGTTTCCCAGCTACCCAGTCACACATCCCCCTTGTGGGCTATAAACCCAAAATTATACCATCTTGCACTGCACAGGGATTTCTACAGTGTAAAATCATTAATATGTCTTCTCCTCCCCCAACATGGACAGAAATATGCACACTTGTAATCAAACAAATATATAGTAGACACTTTGTCAAAGTCACACAGATTTAAATTAAAACATAAATAAGTGTATTAGCTAAAAAAGGATAAATTTAAAGTGATAGTAAACAGCTCAAAGCAGATTGATAAACAAACAAAACTTAAAAGATACTAGAAAGATAGTATATACATTAGCAAATTCTCAGCCTAGCTGATAATACAAACAGGCTTGCAGAGTCTTATGGGAGAAGCTGTATTTGTTTTGTAGCCAGGAATACCCATCCCCTGTTCAAGTCTTTTTCTTTTGGAACTTCTTTCATGTGTTATGTTGTGGAGAAATAAAACACAACAGATGAGGCCACTCCCTAAATTATATTGCTTTAGTGTTTGGTGGGAATCATTTGTTTCTAAAATAATTTCCCAAAATGGAGTCCAGAGTGATTGTGGTTGGTTACCTGCCCTGAAAGGTCATAGTAGACTTTACCTACAGGCTGGCCAAAATGTCCACAGGAAAGCTCACCAGGTCGGGGCTAAGCTTCTCCCAAGGCCTATTGTTTTCCCTACTTGCCTATTACTCGGAATGGGACTTTCAAAACCTGCTACTGTATTTAGACTGGAATCATCTTTCCTAGTGAGTGTCACCCAGGTGTGACTACATGTGAAATACAGATACATAGTCAGTACTAATAACTTCAGATAAATAAATGATGCATTTCTACAAATAGGATAATTATATTCAGCAAATATGCCTTACATGCCTCATGTTGTACAAAATACATCATAATTATGCTGAAACCATATCATAATAATACCACTATGCAGAAAATGGGTTGCAGTGTCCAACACATGGTATCTAAACTAAGCAGGAACAAAAGCTAGCCTTATCCAGTGCTATTACAGAGCAGTTGCTCTATTCATGCTGGCAAATCTGACATAAACTCTGATTCACCGTATTAAAATGTACTTCAGTTTGAGGTTGGGTATGTTGCATCTTTTCCTGAAGCAGTCTCATTTTTATCAAATTTGAAAGGCTGTTTGAGCCCATTTTAGCTATAAAAGTGTCAAGAAACTTGTGAGTGGTTTCAGATAGTTTTTGCACTCATGTAGCTGAAATACTTCCAGCATTTTAGAGCTCCATTCAATTATAAACATTTTCCAGCTTCTGCAGTGCAGAAGCCGTGGAGATTTTCTCTACCCAGCTAGCTGATTCAGCAAGAAAGCATCAGAACTATAGCTGCCTAGGCTGAGATTTGTTACCTTTGTTTTATTTCTGTTTGCCCCTGACATCCAGCTTGGTGTACCTCTGTCTGCAGAAGGAAGGGCTGCTGAATATCTTCTGAAGAGTACTTCTTTCTACCAAAACAAAGGAGAAAAGTTAGCCAAAAGGTAGGAGATAGAGAGAAAGATTCATTTGAGGGGGACCCTCAAAAAGTTCTGGTATTTGGATAACCATGAAAACTTTCAAATATTCACGTGAACTAAGGGCCACATTTGGTGTCTTGGAGGAAGCAAAGCACAGGAGACAAAGCTGTTGTGTATTGGGTTGTAGATAGAGATCTTGTTGTTATAATAACTGAGAGTAAGTCTAAACTACAGCACAAATTCGAACTAACTTAGTTCGAATTAGTTAATTCAAACTAAGCTAATTCGAATTAGCACATCTAGAGTTGAAAACTAGTTCAAAATAGCGTTTTGCTAATTCGAACTAGCATGTCCACACGGAGTGGACCCTGAACTGAGGTTAAGGATGGCAGGAAGCAACGCCGGCAGGGCATCAGATTAGGACATAGAGTGTGGAGCTGCTGCCTCAGGCTAGGGGAGGGCTGTGCTTAAAGGGACCCAACCCCCACCCCAGACAGACAGTTCTCAGGGGTTCCCCGCTCGCTTGTCTAACTTGATGAGGGACAGCAAAGCAATCCTGGCTTGGAGTGCCCTGAATGCCCACACTCGGCAAATCACAGCACTCAGCCATCAGCCTGGATGCACTTGCCGCAGGCTGCCATCCGGGGGAGGTGGGGTTCAATCAGGGGGCTGCAGGTTTGTATGTGTAGCGGTTTGTATGTGTAGCGGTTTGTATGTGTAGCGCCTATCAAAGTTAATTCGAACTAACGTCTGTTAGTTCGAATTAACTTTGTAGTGTAGACATACCCTAAGATATTCTGGGTCTTATTTTCTATCCCTTTCTTAATAATTCCTAGCATCCTATTTGCCTTTTGACCACCGCTGCGCACTGTGTGGAAGTTTTCAGAGAACTGTCCACGATAACTCCAAGATCTCTTTCCTGATTTGTCGTAGACAAATTAGCCCCCACCATACTGTACGTATAGTTGAGGTTATTTTTCCCAATGTGCATTACTTTACACTTATCCACATTAAACTTCATTTGCCATTTTGTTGCCCAATCACTCAGTTTAGTGAGATCTTCTTAGAGTCCCTCACAGTTTGCTTCTGTCTTGACTATCCTAAACAGTTTGGTATCCAGCAGACAGATCTCCCATTCAGTGTTCCCTCTAAGCTGTGTGGCAGCTCAGCCCTGCAACTGCTTAATGAACCCTCCCCAGCTAGGGGCTCAGGACTCATACACAGAGCTGCCTGATGGGGGCCCGGGGAGCACTTCTGCCTCAGCTACAGCAGGAGCTCCCTGCTGAGGCCAGAGCAGCAAGTCTCTCACAGCTGGTAGGGGGAACAATGCTCCTCTTCTAGTGAACTTACTAATCATATATTTCTAATGTAACCCATTGAGTTAATTGGTTTGAAGTGGCAATGCTGATGTCAAGCATTAGAGAAGGTGGTTAAGAGTCATTTAGGTGTAGAACTTTAGATTTGCATTTCTCAAAAGCTTCATGTAAAATAGAGCACTGCCTGTTAATATACAACAGATGCACCAGTGTGTCTTGAGATGAATACATTATGGACAGAAAATTATATTTATTCCCATCACAATAAAATTGTATTTTATGCCTGCTCTTCCCTGTTGCACCTGTGGCATGTTCATTTGGTTGGAACATGGGAGACTGCCAGGTTTAAAGCAAGCTGTGTATCCTTGTTCCCTTGTGAGGTTTTTCTTTTAGTTATTCTTCAATTTTTCACACAGCTTTTCATATGCAATCATCATATTCAACTGGAAAAATGGTATTAATGTAGCACTGAAAACTCAGGAAATTTCAAAAGTTAAGGAGAAACATTCAACTTTTTCTCTGTCTTTGTTGTGCCTTCAGTTACAATGGTGATATTTAAAAACCCTTCAATTGCCTTTAAAACTATATAACCTTAAGTAGCACACACCGAGGCTGTGTCTACACTGGGCCACTTATTCCGGAAAATCAGCCGCTTTTCCGGAATAAGCTGCGAGCTGTCTACACTGGCCCTTGAATTTCCGGAAAAGCAACGATGCTCTACTGTACAAAATCAGCCGCTATTCCGGAAAAGCTACGCTGCTCCCGCTCGGGCATAAGTCCTTATTCCGGAACACTGTTCTGGAAAAGGGCCAGTGTAGACAGCCCAGTAGTCTTTTCCGGGAAAAAGCTCCGATCGCGAAAATGACGATCGGGGCTCTTTTCCGGAAAAGCGCGTCTACATTGGCCACAGATGCTTTTTCAAAAAAAAGGGCTTTTCCGGAAAAGCAGTCTGCCAATGTAGACGCTCTTTTTCTGGAAATACTTATAATGGAAACTATTCTGTTTTAAGTATTTCCGGAAATCCATGCCAGTGTAGACACAGCCATATTCTCTATGCTAGGGGTAGGTTTTCCAACCAGTTCTATGCCCTCTGTAAGACTGTAGGGCTCAGGGAGGGGCGCCTGCCCCTCGGGGTCAGCGGGCGGCCACTCTGCTCCACTACCCTCTGCTTAGTCTCTTGGGCTACATCTAGACTACATCCCTTTGTCGGAAGAGGGATGTAAATGAAGCACTTGGAAAGTGCAAATGAAGCCAGGATTTAAATATCCCGTGCTTCATTTGCATAATCATGTAATGGCGGTCTTTCAAAAAAGCACTATTTTGAAATTGAAACCACAGTCTAGACGCGGTTCTTTCAAAAACTGGGCAGTTTTTCGAAAGATCCTGTAAACCTCATTTACAGGATCTTTCAAAAAAGCACCCCATTTTCAAAAGAACCACATCTAGACTGCGGTTTCAATTTTGAAATAGGGCTTTTTCAAAAGACCGCCATTACGTGATTATGCAAATGAAGCATGAGCTATTTAAATCCCGGCTTCATTTGCACTTTCGAAGTGCTTCATTTACATCCCTCTGTCGACAGAGGGATGTAGTTTAGACGTAGCCTTGGGGAATTAGCTTCAGCTCTTCAGGGCTGGTGGCCAATCAATAAACGGTCCTGGGTCCAGACCTGGCTCGGGGCGGGTGGTAAACGGGAAAACAGTTTGGAGCCCCAAGCCTCAGTTTGGGCGGGGTGGCAAATCAAGCGTTCAGAGCCCCCAAGCCTCAGTTCAGGCCAGGGTGGTAAGAAAAGGATCCAGAGCCCCAAGTCTCAATGCTGGGCAGGGTAGCACACAAAAGAGTCCAGCAGCCCAACTCTCAATTCAGGATGGGGCAGCATACAAAGAGTCCAAAAGGCAGCCCTTGTTCAGGATGTGGCAACAAGGCAAACAGTTTCAAACCGAGCCCTTGCTCAGGGCGTGGCAACAGCAGGTGTAGGCTGCTGTGGGGTAACAACTGAGGGGGGAGACTGCCCCCCAGGGTGGAGTGGCAGGGGGGACTTGGGCCTACCCACTACACTGTGTCCCAGCCCAGTGCCTAGTAGCAGCAGAACCGTCTGCTGCTGGGTCAGCGGGGATCTGCTGCCTTCCCCATTAGTGTAGACCAGGCCTTAGAGTACTTAACTGCAGGACCCATAAGAAGAACAACAATATTTAGGTTCTCAAGTTAATAGCCAGAAGTACTCTCCCCTGGGCATATTTATTATTTTCAATAAAGCACTTTTCCATAATTCCAGGTAGTTAATAATAATTAGTAAACGAACCCAAGTTTTTACCCACATCATCTGAAAGCAGAATAATATAAATTATTTAAAACAAAAAGGTTATATCTATACTACGAGTTTTCTTGGCAAAAAATATGCAGATGGGGGACTCATTTGAATGTGTTGAGATCTCATTTTCAGATTTTCTGCCAATCCATTTTTGCAGTGGGGTTTTTGCACAAAAGCAAGCAGTGTGGATGTTTTCTTTTTGTGCAAACCCCCCTTTTTCCGAAAGATCCTTATGCCCCAAAGAAGGAGGTATACCGATCTTCTGGAAAAAGGTTTTTTGTGTGTGCAAAAAAAAAAAAATTCACACTGATTATTTTTGCGCAAAAAAGAATCAGCAGAAAATATGCAAATGAGATCATGACTCATGCAAATGAGTCCCTCATTTGCATATTTTGCCAAGAAAACTCGTAGTGTAGATGTAGCCAATTACGAAAACTTGTAGTGTAGATGTAGCCAATTAGTTTTATTTGCCAAGAACCTTTATAATCTTAAGAAATATGGAAGGACAATAGCAATCTTCCCTCTTTCCTTTTATTAAACTTCTCTAGAGAAGTAGATAAAAGACTGATCTGTTAATATAATGCATATTCAGTTACCAAGAATTCAACTATAATAGTGTAAATTCATAACAAATGTTCAAACCAGAGTAACTACACACAACTATTTATACCACTGATACGTGATATACTCTGAATCTGGATATACTGTGTATTTCCCTTTTATAATAGTCTCTGAGAGATTTACTAGCCATTAGAGCTTTTCCCCAGATGTATGTTCTTTTCATGTCTAATCTGTTACTACTTTCCCAACAGCCACAGCTCACTGGTTGTCTATATATAGTCTGAAAATGATTTTCACTTTTGTTCAAAGGCCAACCATTCTAATAATAGAAACTGGAAAGAAACCTGAGCTTTAACATATTTGCTTTATTAAGTCTTTTTTAACTATACTCTTCCGTAAATTATTTAGGGTCTGAGATCCTGCTTGGTCAACAAAGTAAGGCTATTTCTAGGTAAAACTTAAGCTTGCCAATATTATGACTAGCGAGAATGTGAGAAGTTCAGCAATCCTTTCTATTCCTGACAAAACACAAAATATGTTCCATCCATTTAATTTTTTTCAGAATTTGGCAGAAGAAAAATTATGTGAAACTAAAGATCATAGTAATACATTTTCCCATGATGTATGCACATAACTTTTATGAAGTTAATGGAAATTAAAAACCTTTAAATGGTCAGAATGCTCTGCATAGCCAAACAAAACCCAGTCCCAAAATCCACCACTTGTTTTGATTTCCCAGATTTGTTGCTTCACATTCCAGTACCTAAAACCAAAAGTAACAGATACGGTATTCACAGACCAGAGCTAAAACATGGGCTTTTACAATTACAAAGCAA